TGTTGTTGTTTGATTGATGGCTTGGGACCACAAACATGGTCCTCTGACTCGATTACAGTTTTAAGGGAAGGTGCGATGTGTGTAGTCGGCCGGATCTCGAATAAGAAAACGGTTCCCAAAATATCAATACTTGTTATATTTTTTTTTTGATATGTAAACTATTAGAAATGCATGCTAGTGGATAGGTTAAGGTCACCTTCAGGAATTTCATGATAGAGTTGCCTGATTTTGCAATGCCTTATAGCCTAGGATATTGCTTGGTTTTCGTTACATATAGTTTATACTGACACTGCTTGTTGTTAAGAGTATGCTTCAGTGTTATACATATTCTGGAGTTTATAGCCCTAGAATGCTTGATTTAGCCCTACTTCTTGTTCCTTGTTTGGTTATGTACTTAGGGTAGAGTCATTTATTTGACCGTCTATCTAATCTTGCATTATGTACGACTTGCATTCACAAGGCAACCAACGGTGTTATTAGAAACTTCTAGCAGTGTGGGAGTGTGGTTGTGGAGGATCCTATAATGAGAATATATGAAGTTTAGTATGTGGCTTTTCTGAGCATGTAGGTGTCTGATAGTACACCTAGTATTGGTTGAGTGTAGCGACTTGGGAACTTTGAGACAATTCTTGGGACAAGTACGGATAGGTGTGGAAGGTAGTATGGGCCCATACTACCGAAAGCAAAGGATCTATACAGGGATCAGGAAGAGTCAAAAGGTTATTGGGAAGCTAGTGGAAGGTAGATAGTGTGGTATAATACTAGGTTAATTATAACTTGTCTCCATTTCTGTCAATCTTTCGGTTATGGTTGATCGGGATGAGGATGGGTCAAGTAGTTCTTCGGGCCTAATTGGCCATAGCAAATTGGGTCTGAAGGGTGCAGACATATGGATGTTCGTTGGTCCTGAGGTCTCAAGTGTCTTGTTTGGAGTTGTACCAGTTTGAGTCGTGAGAGTCAGGAGGAGGCAATCATGATGATCGATTCGAGGATAGCAGTCATTGGAAGGATGGTCAGCAAATTGCTTGGGATACCATTTGTTACGACAAGGTTATATTCTTCTAGCCTCCTTGTTCGGGGGTGAAGAGATCAGGTTCGTATTAGTCAATGGATAGTAGAAGGGACGGTGCATCAGTTCTGCTGTAAGGAAGTGAGGTTCGGTTCACTGTAAATAGTTTCCATCTTGTAACTAAGGGATATTTGAGGTTTGATTGTTCTTTCGGTCAGGTGGTCGTAGTGGATACCATGGCGCAGATCAAGTCTTTGGCCCAATATCAGGTAAATGGTGGGTGTCTCCTATGTAGATAGGGAATATAGTTTCAAGGACTGGACTGGAAGTCCGATGAAGGAAGAGAGAGCTGATGTATGGCCAGGCATCTTCGGCAGATTAAAGAATTCAAGTTTGTGTTATCAAATCAGCTGGTTTAGGGAGGCACAGTTGGGACGAAAAGCATGGGAAGAAATACAGGGGAGTACTTATCATGACGTAGTATCGAGATGTTTCTGATTTGGGTAAGAGGGCATAAATGTTATGTTGATTTTGTCAAAGCTACTGTTAGAACAACTATAGAGAATCCTTGAAGTTTTGAGGAGGGGGAGGTGGTAGGTCAAATTCTTCAATTGCAAGTTTTGATTGCGTGAGGTTCGGTTCTCTGGGTTCTTCGTCAAATCCAATAGTATCTTGGTCGACTTCATAAAGACTATGGTGATGTTTTTGTGGGAGGTTCTGAGGTCTCCATCCAAGATTCAAAGTTTCCCAGGAAATTATTATTTGTTATCCAACGGATCATCTTGTGGTGTGTTATTCCTTCCGAGAGTCAAAATTGGTAAGTATCTGGATGAGTTGGTCTGAGGCTCTATTGTTATAGGCGTCAATTGGTGGTGGTTTGAACCCTAAGTGGGGGAGAATTGAGTATTCCACTTTGTGGATCACTGGTATGTTCGAATTTTATGGTTTCAGTACAATGGGTTAGAGTAATCTGCGATTCAAGTATGTGCAGTATTTGGTTTAGATTTTCTATTACACAAGAGGAAAGGAAAGAAGGCTATTATCGTAGAGCTTATGGCTGGGAAGTTTCCTTATTATGTTTCTCAAGGATGTGTCGAAGCCCTTCGTGGTCAGGGAGAAATCCAGAATTGGTTTGATCTTGGGTACAGAGTACGTTGCCAACTGATTTATGTCTTTAAGAGTACATGAGTGGTCCTCACAACAAGAAGCTGTTGGGAAAGGATCTCGTCGTGGCTAATAATTCCTTTCGGGAACGCCAAGTATTATGTCAAGAAGCATTTGGGCCGTTTAGATTATGTATCGAATATTGAGAGATTGGTTAGTTCGCAATATAGGACGGTTATCTTTGGTCAAGAATAGGCAGTGGTTGATCTATGATCAGCTTCAGAATTTGGTATGTATATTTCCATTCAGGATTCATTATGAAGTTTATGAGATTATTGGGTTTAACTTGTTGGTCAAATTTCAATCAATCAGATGTTCCATTCCTCATTAGCGTCGGGAATCGTTTGACTGTTTCGAGTAGTAAAACTTGAAGGTGCAGTTGGTGCCTAGACCTTTCATCAAAATTTTGTCAATTGTATATTCAGGTTTCTGGGTGTGTATACCCTTGGTTATTTGGTTGTGGAACTAATGTTTCTAGCAAGCTCGATTTTCATGGTTGTCTTTGGATAGTGAAGGTTTGGATGTTGCAGCGAAGTTGTATAATTTTTAGGTGTGACCTTGAGTCTACTTGGACTCTAGTTTTGGCAGGCATGGTTCGTTTTTGGGTCAATTCGACCAGGGTTCAGGTAGCATTTTGGGTGATTTTGGAATTTTCCTCTGTATTTGGGAGTTCCATCGAGTTATTTGGGTGTTATTAGAGATCTGTTCGGTTTTATATAAGTTTTAGCATCTTTTTTTGGTTATTTAAGAGAATGTCCCCGTCAACAGTATTATATTTGTTACTTATTTTGATCGATGATAACATCATGTTAACTCCAGTTAGGTGTTGCAAGAAGGATAGATATTCGTTTGGACCTGATAAGGTATGTGATTTTTATGTACTTCACTCATTGAGTAGAATTATAATGTAGAAGGAATATAGTGGATCTTAGATGGATGACACGTCCTCCTTTAGAGTAATGAATCTTGGTAGTCTATCGAGTGTTTTCACAAGGGTTGCATGTACTCTGAACAATATATAGTTAGGGAACTTTTGGTCAGGCCTTATTGCATGGTTATCGTCTGATTTATTACTTTCAAATAGGAATAATGGAAAGAGCGGTTTCGTACTATGAGCTTCTTATTCCAATGGTTAGACAGTGGCGCTTCGTATCATGAACTAGCATGTGTACAACTTATGTGGTTGAGAAGTTTGGGTCTTGGTTCATTAGTCTTTTTCGTATAATTGGGTACTTAAGCATTATGGAAAGACTATTAGTGACTCAGTAGACGACAGGTTTTAGGCCGGACATTTTATGGAATGTTAACTTGTTGGAAAACTCATGGTTGTGTATCGAAAGTATTTTGTTGAATGTCTACACTTATAGATCCCCATTTCCGTTGAGATCAGATTATTTGGAGTTGGGTTACGAGTGTTGAGGTACTGATTTTGGGAACTACGAACTCTGTCACTCGTTGTTGTTCTCATGGACCTAAAAGCCACAAAGAGATGTGGTTTGGTGATCTAGATTGTATTAGGAGTAATTTCGACGACGAAATTATTTTAAATGGGGGAGAATTGTAACATCCTGTTTTCCATTTAGTTATTTAAAAAAAGAGACATATAAATATTACGATAATTAAATAATTAGAAATAGAAGATTAGTTAGATCTTTTTTAGTTAAAAATGCCATCTAATATTCAATTAATTAATTAAAGAAATAAATAAAAACAATTAATAATAAATAATATATAATACATATATTTGAGGGTTTAGTTTAGTTCATATGCAAGTGAGAGAGTATATTGTGATCAAGTGACAAAACATGAGGGATAATAATTTTAACATTGAATTTAGAACATTCAAATGGAAAAGAAAAAGGGAGGCATGTTTTCTTGTCCTATGCACAACGTCACAGTCTCTTTCAAAAAACCAAACCTACACACCTTATGATACGAACAAAAGATTGATGATTTCACCAATATATACCCCAATATATATACCTGTGTATTGAAACATTAGGGTTGTAAGGTTGTGCCGCATATAGGAGGGTCAAGAGGAAAGAGAGATCTCGTGAACGGGAAGATAAAGTGCTATATCGGAGGTTCACATCTAGAACTATGAGAAACCATGGAGAAAAAGGGAGGTTAATATGGATCAATCTGGGTTACGATGGAGTGCTTGGTTCGCCGATGGCCACCAATGACATGATTAGACAGCTCCAGCGAGCTCCTAGATAGAGACGTGTGAGTGAATGTTTCTTCAACCCTTTATCTAATTCATATTTTCGTGAATCCCAACTTCAATGAGGTAAAACGGAAGCCATTAGAGCTTCTCCAACCACAAACACCAAAATGGTGATTATTTAGCACCAAAATGGTGTTTGAGTTCCAATTAACCCCTAAAATAGTGGGCTTTGAGGCCTTTTCATTTGACCTTCATATTTGGTGTTAAAATTGAACCAGCACAAAAATGGTACAAAATTTGAAGGTTGGTTGGAGTATTCTTGCCCTACAAAACACAAAAATGGAGTAATATAGTGGACGGTTGGAGTTGCCCTTAGTCACTCTTGGTGTAGACGATACAGTAAGAAAGAATAAGTACTATATTATGGCAGCATGGCAGCTTTCTTGTCTGAGGTATAATTTTATTGCCTTTAAAGTCTTAGCATTTAATTAAGATTATAAATATTTGAAGGTTATTGTTATCATGGGTTATGGAAATCAGACACTTAAAGTGAGATTATTACTCAACTGCGTAAACTGAATTATTGAACAAGGAGAAGATTAAAAATCAATATTATAATATAGGACACCATAAATTCATTTCACACAGTTTAGGAGCTCGATGAGTGGAGAGTGGCTAGAATTCCGACAAAGAAGAAGACGACGACAAGACGACCATCATGCAACCAGGAACATTGCAACACAATTCTTTTTCCAGAACTTTCCTGAAGATTGGGACGAGAAGGCACTGTGGCAAACATTCCTAAGGTATGGCACAATAGTGGATATCTACATCGCCAGGAAGAGGAACATCCAGAATAAGAGGTTTGGTTTCGCAAGATTCATTAGAATAGAGAACATCACAGACTTTGAAAGAAAATTAAACGGAATATGGATTGGACACCATAAGCTAAGAGTCAATATAGCCAGATTCCTACGGAAAAGTCCATTCAGCCACTGCCCCCCATCACTCCCAAACGACCGCCATCACCTACACCCAAACGATTGCCACCACCTACCACATCATACCTGCCAAACCAAGCACCCATCCGTCTCCCACCATCACCAACCACACCAACCCAACAAACAACACCTTAAGACAAGTCCCAAAAGCTATGCAGAAGCGGTAATAGGAGATAAACCGCCAAAATCAAACCCAAATCCAAAACAGATCAGGATGACATCCTATGAGGAAACAAGAGAGTTCATGAAACGTGCCTTAGTCAGGGAAGTGGAAAACTTCCAAGCATTAATGAATGTGAGAGCTTTTACCGAAGTAAAAGAATGCCCTACAATAGTGATGAGATACTTGGGAGGAATGAAGACGCTAGTGGAATTCGAAAGTGAAGCCGTCAAAACCAAATTCCTAATAAGAGGAGGACATATATGGAAACCATGGTTCAAGACGATGTACAACTGGAACCCAAAAGAAAATTTCAACGAAAGATTATCTTCAATAATGATTTTCGGAATACCGCAACATGCTTGGTGTGAAGAAGCATTTTCAGCAATTGCAAAGACTCGGGGCAAAGTAATAATACCGGAAGAATGTGCAACCGATAATCCTAATATGGCGTTTGGAAGGGTGGGGATACTAACCTCGCACCCATAGCTAATCAATCAGACAATCACTATAATCGTGGATAACTCCCCCTATACCATTACAATTTTGGAAGATCTCCTCAAGTCCACGAGGTTAAGCCCTGTGGTTGCTAGCAATGACTTTACCCTCAGTCCTAAATGGACTGAGAATTCAAACTAGGAAGACCAATACGAGTCGAACGATGAAGACTATGAAAAAAGAAGGAGAGAATAATAGTAACGAAGAAGAAGATTTTTTCTGCACTCCAGACCATGACTATAATAGCAGAACCCATTCAAAATCGCCGGAGAAATCCTTCCGGGCGGCAAGAGAACGATCTCCGGTGAGCATTAATTACGCACAAATTTCCAAGATAAAGACTCGCGACATACAAGAAGTGCCTCTGAGGCTAGGGGAGAACCCAAAGAGTCCCTTGGGCACACAGGCAACACCATGCATTATAACGTAAAATTTGCAAACTCCCCTCATCTACAAACTGTTCAAAACACGGGTGTCCATCATACCACCCAAATCTTGGAAGAAGTAGCCCAAACCCAGTTACCTCACGGCCCAATTCAAGAAGGACCCACATACTCAGTTAGCCCAAATCAAAAAATCCCACCGAACAATAATCAAAATAATAATCATATCGACTTAAATTCATTTCCTGTATCTTCCAACAACGTAAACCCCCAATTATCCCAAAACCACCAAAAATCACAAAACAATCAGCATAATGGGAACTCAAAATCGTCCTCAAATACGGATGAAGAAGTATCACAGACAGTTGAAATTGGTGAAAAGATTGGATTTCGGGTTCAAGGTTATGAAGATCAAATCAGGAAAATTATCAAGAAAAGGCGAGTCACAATCATTGATCAATGAATATCTTATCATTGAACTATAGAGGTGTTGGGTGTGAAGTTAAACGAGATTGGGTCAAGAATCTTAGGGGGGTAACCACGTTTTTCTCTTAGGATTACAGGAAACAAAAATAGAGGAGTTTAAAGGCTGCCTAGACAGATGGATATGGGGGAATTCCAAATTCCATTGTGAAGTTTCTGATCCCATTGGGCTTTCTGGGGGAATCGCAACAGTTTGGAACCCAAATCTCTTCAGCATATCTGAGGCAATCACGGTTACCTTCTAACCAAAGGGGTATAGATCCCATCAAAATCAGTCTATGGTTTCATAAATGTGTACGCCCCTAACGATCCAGGTCGTAGAAAACTCTTATGGGTGGAGTTAGAAACTATCATGAGCTCGGATAGTAACTCCCGGTGGGTGATATTCGGAGACTTAAACGAAGTTCGAGCAGAAAACGAAAGGCTAGGTTCAAATTATTGTGCCTCATCAGCTAATCACTTCAACAATTTTATATCAAGTGCAGGTCTGATTGATTTTCATATGGTTGGTCGGCGCTTCACATATATGAGTTCTGATGGGGTAAACACAACAAACTTGACCGATTCCTAGTCTCTCACAACACCACAACCGACTGGCGCCAACTTCAAGTTACTGTACTCCCTCGCCTCTACTCTGATCACTGCCCAATCCTACTCTCATCGCCCATACGTGACTACGGTCCATCCCCTTTCTGATTTTTCAACTCGTGGCTGCAAGATGAATCTCTTGATGCAGTTGTAGATGCAGGTTGGACTTATGACGCAACAACACGGTTCTTCTCATCCCTCTCCCCTCTATCTCTCGTTGCTGGCAAACTGTGACGCAACAACACGGTTCTTCTCATCCCTCTCCCCTCTATCTCTCGTTGCTGGCAAACTGAAGAACACAAAAGACAAAATCAAAACCTAGAAGAAAATAAAAACTGAAGAGTCCAATAGAAAACGCAAGGAACTCATAGAAAAAATAGACAAAATTGATATCGATGCAAAATCTGATGTGGCAAATTCAGAATCTATGGAAACAAGAAAACATCTACACAAAGAGTTAATGGAGATTGAATCTAAATGGATCAATGACATCAAACAAAAGGCGAGGTTTAAATGGGCACTAGAAGGCGACGAAAATTCAGGTTTCTTCCATGGTTTAATAAATAAAAACCTCCGATCACAACGCTTATCAGGAATCAATATAAATGGTTTTTGGACAACAAACCCGGTTGAAGTGAAAGAGGAAGTTGTTAAACACTTTTCCACCAAGTTTAAGGAAACAGAACCCTCTATACCCACTTTCACAAGCCATAAATTCAAAAAACTACCCATTGAGTCTAGATTGGAACTTGAAGCTCCAATAACTTTGGGAGAAGTACGATCTGCAGTGTGGTTGTGTGGATCTGATAAATCTCCAGGCCCAGACGGATTCACATTCACATTTATAAAGAAGTATTGGGACAAAATTGGAGGATATATTTATATGGCAGTAAAAGACTTTAAAAGATCATGGATTATCGACAAAGGCTGCAACTCGTCATTCATCACCCTTATTCGAAAAACAAGTGGCCCCAACACCTTTGATGATTACCGCCCAATAAGTCTTACAGGGAGCCAATACAAAATCATTTCTAAAGTTCTATCAGAAAGACTAAAGAAGGTTATCTCACTAGTCATCAGTTATACCCAATCAGCCTTCATTAAAGACCGCAACATCCTGGACGGGCCACTAATCGTCAATAAAGTCATATCTTGGCTCAGGAAAAGTAAATCCAATGCCTTCCTATTCAAAGTGGATTTTGAAAAGGCATTTGACTGCCTTAATTGGGGTTATTTAGACTCGGTGATGGAACAAATGGAATTCGGGGGAAAATGGAGAAGCTGGATTAGGGGTTGTTTACCATCATCTTGAGCCTCAGTAATAGTAAACGGGTCAGCCACTAAAGAATTTGAGCTTGAAAGGGGAATACGTCAAGAGGATCCACTATCCCCTTTCCTTTTTATCCTGGCGTCCGAGGGCCTAAATGTTGTCATGGAAGAAGCAGTGGAACAAAAGATCTTCAAGGGAATAACACTTCCAAATTCGGGTCCAGTTATATCTCATTTACAATACGCAGATGACGTGATTTTCCTAGGTTCATGGTCCATTTCCAGTACCAAGAACCTAATTAGAATACTGCGTTGTTGTGAATTATCTTCCGGGCTCAAGATAAACATGATGAAGAGCAAAATTATTGGTTTGGGGGTGAACAATCTTGAAACTGAATTGTTAGCTAGGAGTATATACTGCTCTGTTGGGTGCACAACCTTCACGTACCTGGGAATGCTGGTAGGGGCTGCCATGTCAAGAATATCACAATGGAGCTCCCTCATAAACAAGTTCCAATCTAAACTATCTAACTGGAAAGCATCATCTCTTTCTTTTGGTGGAAGGCTAACGTCATGTAAATCTGTACTTGGTAGCCTTGGATCATATCTATTCTTATTATATAAGGCTCCGATAAAGATAATCAACACCCTAGAAAGCTATAAAAGGCGTTTCTTTTGGGGAGGGTCATCGGAAAAAATAAAATGTCATGGATAGCGTGGGACAAGGTTATTTCCAGAGTTGATGATGGGGGCCTTGGGGTTGGTAGCTTGAAAGCTCAAAATCTTGCTCTACTAGGGAAGTGGTGGTGGCGTTTCAAATCAAACGAAAAAGAGTTGTGGAAGGATGTCATAACAACCATTTATGGAAATGACGGGGGTTTCAATGCTCCCTCAAAAGCAAAGAAAAAAGGCTTCTGTTGGGGCACCATTGTAAATTTTCACTCCACCTTATCAAAACATGACTTAGATTTTCAAAATATTTTCATTAATCCCATTTCAAACCAAACTGATGGGAGGTTCTGGAAGTTAGAGGCTTCGGGTGTATACACAGTAGCCTCACTGAGAATTCACATCGACAACAAGCTCCTCCCAAAAACAAACAATTGTTGGATTTGGAACTACCTTGTGCCTTAGAAAGTAAACATCTTAGCTTGGAGAATCTGTCACGGCAGGTTACCAACCAAAGAAAACCTACACAAACTTGGAATTGGCTCCAACACGCTGTGCACCCTCTGCAACCAGCCTGCAGAATCTGCGACCCATTTATTCACCGCCTGCTCAGTGTCATTTATTCACCGCCTGCTCAGTGTCATTAAAAGTTTGGGGAGATATAAGATTATGGTGGCATTTACTTCCATCGAACTTCCAGTCGGTCTCAAATCTACTTCAGTGTAAGAATAATCTTCCACCTAAAAAAGATATAGGAGTGTTCCATGAAGTTGTATCATTGGTCTTTATCTGGGTCATCTGGAAATACAGGAACAAGCTGGCTCATTCAGACAAATACATCTCTCCTTTTGGTCTCGCAGATGAAATCCAGACCTTATCATATTTATGGATTAATGCTAGGCATAAATCTAAAAAGCTTAGATGGTTAGAATGGTGTTGCAATCCAACTCTTGAGTCCGATCGGCTGTAAAATTTATGGGGGGAGGGGGGTGGGGTTGGGTCATTTTGGGTCAATTTAATTGGTGTCTTGGAGTATGCCAAGTTGCAGTTAAGTGTGTGTTTGGCGTGTGTTTTTCTTTCTCTTGGGTAGTTATCTCTCTAGGAACATAACTGTGCTTGGCATTCTTTCGTGTTTCTTTCGTGTGTTTGGCGTTATAAAAATTGGGCGGGGGTGAATTCTATTTTGGCGTGTGTTTTTCTCTCTTTCTGTTTGTTTCTTTCGCAGGGTCTCTCAACTTGACACTTCTTGGCTTATGCTGCATAAATTTCATAAATTTCCGAATATGATTGTCACACCCCGGCCGTCGCCAGAAACACCGGGCAGTGTAACGTCATTTCTCGTATCATAGCTATCAACTTCCTGAAAACACATGCAATTTAAAATACGTCAACATAAAGTTGGTGAGTCCACAGGTTTTGACTCCATATAAAAATAATACCTTTTCCAAGTTCAAAAGTGTAGTTTTGAAAGTATTATTTTGACTTTCCAACGTTTAGTATATATATCCTAGGTATAATTGTTTACTTACCAAATAAGTATATACCTATAAGTCTCATATATTATAAATATAAATGTTTGTAATTCCATACAAACTAAGTTGCTACGTATAAATCTTATTCAATTCTATACGAGTAAAACTGCTACGTATAAATCTATTTCAATTCTATACGAGTAAGTAGGATAGGTATAGTGGTCTACTTAATATACAAGTAATATACCTACTAGATTCTTATACTTAGAGTATAAGTCTTTGGGAACTTATACTTAACATTCATACTTGTATATCGACAAAGTATAATGCTTCTAAAGTTGTGCTACCATGAGTCTGTAGCTGCGACTATATGACTTAGTTTTATACCTCTTATTATTATTACAAGGATCACACATTGCGGTAGTACAAGGATTACACCTTGCGGTAGTACAAGGAGTACATCTTGCGGTAGTACAATGATTACACATTACGGTAGTACAAGGATTACACATTACGGTAGTACAAGGATTACACCTTGCGGTAGTACAACAGCTATAATTAGAATTAAAACCAGGTTTTATCTTGACATAAAACCAATAACAACAACATATAACATACCTGGTTTTATCTTGTCATAAAATCAATAATAACAACATACTTATCAATTAACATATAGAACTTCCGAGTATAACTCTGGAACTATATCGCACACATCATATATATAGAATCCTAAGTATAACTCAAGATCTACATTAGTATACTACTATAACAATAACATGCTAACAACTTTACAATAGTTGTATTCTTTCAGATATGAAATAACTATATCCTGGTTATTATAACTATCTACGTTGATACTAATATACTATTATATAGATATAATAATAACGTATATATATAATATTTAGCATGCGTTTTCCCCCGAAATATTAGAAAGTCGGGCCGTGAAACTCACCTTAATAGCGTGATTTTATGTAATCTA